GGAACCCTTGACCTTGGTGGTATAACACCCCGCTCTAATCAACTGAGCAAACTGCCAGCCCTGAAAGGCCTATGAATGCTTGCACATGTGTGTATTTGTCCATCCACTAAAAACAATATTCACTTCACTGTGAAAAAATTATACAAAATAGGAATTCCCAGGCTAATCTAAGCATTTCCAAATTCCAGAGTAATGTACAGATTTATCCAGTTGATGGTTTATCATGAGATCTGGGTAATCATCAGACTGAAGATGATGATTGACATAATTATTTTGCCTTTTTATAAAGCTTTTGTTAATTTATTTTAATAAGTGATAACATATTTACATAAGTACCAAAGGTACAAAAGGACACCCAGTAAAAGTCCTTTGTCCTACCCTGCATCCAGCCTCACTGATTCCCTCCCCGAAAGCAACCCCTGTCATGGGTTTTTTCTGTATCCTCTCAGAGATATTTTATGCTTACACAAGGAAATATGTAAATTCAGTCTTATTCCCTTTCCTCTTTCTTTCTTTCTTTCTTTCTTTCTTTCTTTCTTTCTTTCTTTCTTTCTTTCTTTCTTTCTTTCTTTCTTTCTTTCTTTCTCTCTCTCTCTCTCTTCACAAGTGATGGCGTATCCTAGAACCACTGTTATTTTTAATCTAATTTATTATGGAGATTGTTCCCTATCAGTACATAACGAGCATGCTTAGTTTTTCATGACAGCAATCTGGTCTGTAGTATGCGTGCATCGTAACATTTAAATCACTCTCCCATTGATGGGCATTTGCATAGTTTCCAATCTTAAGCTGTTGAAATAATGCTGGAATTAAAAAAAAATCCTGGACAGACATAATTTCATTGGTAAACACTTTTTAAATGGGAAAGTCTGGGAATTTAGGCATTTTTTTATCATTCCCATTTATTATTTCCATATTTGTACCACACATTCTAAGATACAAGCATAGAAAATTCTTCCATCTTTAGAAAGTATTTTAAATACACTAATAAAATAAACATATTACCCTTCAGTAGATAGCAAAACGTTTTAATGGCACCTTCACTGTGAGATCCTATTTTATAAAGAGGCTTTTTTTTTTAATGTGAATGTACTTATTCTTTTAGATATGAATCCTTGAATACATACTGCTTATTATACAAAGCGAGAGATTCTCAAGGTTCCCAAGAATTGTTTTGGAAAGAAAACTGATTTTCAAATGAGATTAGCAGCATCTTAATTTCACTGAGCTATCTCATTAAGCTTAACATTTTCATACAACTTGGATATCAGGTAAATTGAATTTGAAGCCGGCATTATTCTCCAAATTGAATTGGACTGGTTGGTCACTGAGGTAGGAATGGTACAGCTCAGAAGTACTGTAATTCTGCCACTGAAACAGGACCTCTATTTATGTATGTTGAATCTCTACTCATATAAAATGTCTCAACATGTCTTGCATTTTAGTAGAAAATGAATAGCAAGGTATTTTTTTAAACTACATAAATATTTTAAATAAAATTAAAACCAA